TCGGATCGACCACAATTCGTATGGGATGGTAAGAGGGTTAGACTAATATGTTTACCTGGTCATTACATCATAAATCGAAAATCCCATCGGGTACGTCATAAAGCCTTTCCTCAGCATACACAGAAGCAATACTCAGGTATGCGCCGGCAGTGGTTTAAGTCTTCTCGACCAGGAACGGCGAGAACAGACATTGTTAATTGAAGTGAAAGAGCATTAAGAAAAAGTCACAGCTTTGGCACAAGGCCGAAGCACTGCGTGCGAACGAACACATTGGGCTGTTTTAGTAAGTAAGGCTAGCAGATTTAGGAGCCATATCAAATTTTGTGAACACGGTCGATTGTGCTTGAATTGGCAGAAATGCACTAACCATGCACAGAATCTAGACATGTGTTGTGAATAATTGAGTGACGTCCGACAGGAGGCGAAGTCCGGGCCCAGCTTCGAGAAACGCGACAATCACAGGCTTTCAAGTCGAAGTACACTAACGTTCAAGTCTCCAGTGACTATCACCGTCACAACCTGTAGGCACACCACACGGAAGCTGCGCAACAAGAAGTTCATGAAATCCCCAATGCATCCTGTTGCGTCGACAAAGCCATGCGATTTTTTAACGATGCAAGCATCACCACGACTCATCTCGGGCAGCGAGTTTTAAAGTGAAAGTGGCAGTGTGCCTTTTGATGGTATCCGAATTCACAGGCACGACAGGACCAGCAATTTCCCGAACAGTCCTGGACTTGATGCGAGCAATTTTCCCTGTTGCTTCAGATCGAAAGTGGAGCCAAGGACATTTTGGAATGCTCCTTTCATACGTGCTGAACCCACTCCTCCATCGATCAAGCCATCGCACACGTCAGTCCTTAGGGAAAGCATGCATGGCTTCTCCAAGCAAAGTACATGATTTGTTCAAGAATGTTTCTTTTAAGTCCATTGACCGTAAGCCAGTTGCCAATGGTGCATATACATAGCTCACCGTTAGTGTGATGGACAGTTTAACACTTGCGTGACCGCGAGAAATTTGGCCGCTCCTGCGTAGTCTGAAAACCTTTTTTTTATGTCACCCAAAGTTACTGATGTTAATGTTTATGGTGTCAAATTGTACAACTAGGAGCTATCGTTCAAACATGGTCAGTTTGAAACCACAAATTTATTACAATAGTATGTAAAAATCATCAAACAAAAAGCATACTAAACATTAACTAAGAAATTTCATAGAACTATCAACACTGCTTTGAACAGCTTAAGCATAAAACGAAATGAAAATATAGATTTTAAGCACAACGAGCACATACAATTATCCTGTAAATATAAGGGCTGTAAATACATAAGTTTTTGTGTACATAAAATAACATTACACGTAGTGTCTTTCATGACACCATGCAAAGCAGTTTTGCGATGCAGTAAAACATTGGTCTGCTACACGTTTCACAGAAAACATTTGCTTCTGTTCAAATTTTCTTTGTTCGTAGCATAATTTACAGTTCCTGATAATTTCGCGGAAATCCGCACCTGCGTCGGGTGCCGGAAGAATAGTTTGAAGTGAAACTTGGTGCAGCCTTTACTCGAGCAAACATTTCTTTGAAACACAAAGACATGGGAGGCAGGTTGGGTTTTGTGTAAGTTTTATGGCAGATAAACTAGCCGAAAGAGAGCATGCTCAATATGCAACAGATGGGTATGCTACAGACGGTCTTGCCAGCATTGCGCCAAGCGACGACGACAGCATGCGGCAACTCGACAGCCTAACGTTCTCCGCCCTTAAAAGCATACTTCTGATGGCACAGGTTCTGTGGTTGAATTAAAAATTCAAAATACAGTTTAATACTGCAAAGAATAAGTTATGCACACAACTTTCAATATCAATGGTCCCATCACAATGCATACATAACCTTGATGGGCGTTGCAACCACGTGAATGCAGCCAGTATAATGATTCTTTCGTGCTCCGAAGTTGGCATGCAACTGCTAAAATGAGTATGTGTGGTTCCAAAAATGTTGCAGTGTGAATTCAAGCTAACTGCAATATAGGACTCAGGGAAGGTCTACTAAAAAAGAATGCCATTAGGGAACAATCGAAGCAATGATAAATTCAATGCCATTTTATGTAGTGGTGTCGTACAACCAGGGAGTTTTAAAAATATTTGAAGTGGAAAGTATGCCTCAAAAGTGAAGCTCTACCTGCCTCAAAATGCTGCCGCAGCCGCCATCTTGGGTGCGTACGGCTTCTCTCTTATCCAACACCAACTACCCGTGGTCGCCATCTTTGTAGGGGTACGATAAAAGGTTAGCGTTCAATGAAAACAACAGTGTTCTTTTCCCACTGCATACAATACGGTATTTTAAAGGGTATTTGAGCAGCCCACTTCAAAAATCTCGATACCAGTACAGTTGAAACTGCAGCTTTTCATAAAAGTCTCTCAGCTGAACAATCATTTGTACAAAATGCAATCATGATGACACCATTGGTTCTGCGTGCCTTTCTAACATTCATGTTTCCATTACCTATACCACGCCTCTGCTTGCAAGTACCCTGAAAATACCTGCACTTGCTTGGAAATGCAGTGAAAGTAACTTTCATGCTTTACAAACACACGCATCCTGTATACAGGCTTCACAATACAACATAAAATATTGCCGTAATAATGCGTGATAGAAGGGTACATTGCTATTGGGCGTCAGAACATAGGATTATCATAATGACTTCACAGATTAAAGCCAGTAAAAGGCACACACATTACTGCACCCGCAAGGCCATGTAGTGAGTGCATAGTAAGCTCGAAAAGATTTCATGCACAAAGTGTTTAAAGTACACACTACGAACAGAATATCGCTGCCGCGTTCAACTCGTAAAGGCGAAGCTTAAGGGTCCTTCCAATTTTTTCGACTCACTCAGAAAATCTTAGTCTAGGCAAGTTTTACTGGAGTGCGAATCGTAGATACCCACCTCTATATGTTATTTTCACAAAGAACAAGAATCTTTTATTCTAGAGTTCACCTAGTGTTTACATTAACCGAGCTAAACAACGTTATCTCTAAGCAGGCACTACCCGAAAATAACGCGTTTTAGAGATGAAGGTTGGGCAAGCGCTGTCTTAACGTAAGATGGCAAAACAGACAGACAGACAGACAGACAGACAGACAGACAGACAGACAGACAGACAGACACAGACAGACAGACAGACAGACAGACAGACAGACAGACAGACAGACAGACAGACAGACAGACAGACAGACAGACAGACAGACAGACAGACAAAGAACTTTATTCAGGTCCTGAGGAACTGCGTTGTAACGGCCCCGTTTAGGGGGAATCCGTAGCAGTCGCGGGCCGCTCCCACGTAGGGACCGGAAGACCGTGGCCCTCCGCCCTCTCGCAGGCCCTCTGGACAGCCAGAAGTTGAACCAAGAGGTCGCCGCTGTTAAAGGCTTCCTCCCAGTCCTCTTCTTTGTTGAACTCTGCGTCACGTAACGCAGGACATTGCCAGAGCATATGAGGTAATGAGCAATACGCCTCACCGCAGTCCGGACAATGCGAATCGATGTTGGGCGAAAAATGGCTGAACCTGCCACGCGAAGGGAAAGACTCCGTTTGGAGCATCCTGTAGGCCGATGATTGCGGTCGCGTAAGTTTAGGATGAGGAAGTGGAAAAGTCCTCCGAGATAGATGATAATGAGTCATGATCTCGTGGAAAGTGAGTAGCGAGTCCCTGTATCTTGCGGCGTCCCCGCCTGCGAATCCGCCGGGACCGCCGCGGTGAGCGATACCTCGCGCACGGTCATGGGCAAACTCATTGGCGTTGGGGACATCAGGATGTACGTTGGCCCCAATGTGGGCCGGGAACTCGAGGATGGCCGCTGCCTCACGCGAGATCGAGCCCGAGGCGAAAGCCCTAGCTGCGGAACGCGAATCTGTAAAGACATTAGGACGCGATGGGCCCTTCATTGCTATGGCGATGGCGATTTGCTCAGCCACCATTGCCGAAACCTTTCTAACCGAGGCAGAGCATAGGAGTGTGCCACTATGATCGACCGAGACCACTGCGAAGCGATCCGAACGCCCGTACTAGGCTGCATCGACAAAGGTCGCGAGATGCGGTCTGTTTGCAACTGATTTTAATAAGGAACGGGCCCGAGCTATGCGGCGCCCTACATTGTATTGTGGGTGAACATTTCTTGGAAGTGGAGCTACCGAAAACGTGCCTCTGATCGAGGGTGGTAGTGTTACATTACGCTGGTTAGTCGCCGTAGGACCGCAGCCTATGGATTCCAGGATGCGCCTACCAGCCCTCGAGGACGATAGTCGCACGACCTGAGCCATCTGCTGGGCCTCGATCACCTCCGAGAGGGAGTTATGCATGCCCAATTGTAGGAGTTTCTCGGTGCTAGTGTGGATAGGCAAGCCTAGAACTCGCTTTATGCTTTTGCGCATTAGTGTATCAATTCTTGCCTCTTCTCTTTTGGACCAGCGCAACGCCGAAGCGACATAATTAATGTGGCTCATGAGAAATGCATGATAGAGCCGAAGGAGATTGCTCTCGCTCAGCCCACCCCTGCGGTTCGATACCCTAAGTATGAGCCTAAGCATGTTCTCCGTCTTGGAGGTGATGCGGGCTTTAGTTCGTGAGTTGCCCCCCTTGGACTCTAGCAGAAGTCCGAGGACCCTGATGGAGTCCACCCTGGGTATTTTCCGCCCATCCCGTGTGTATAAAGCTATGGGAATCTGTTCTAAAGGAGTGAGGTTCCTCAGGGATGTGGCTAAAGCGACATCACCTAAGGCTGTCTAAGGCGTGCCACTAGCTGGCAAAATGACGAGACAGCTTCTACTCCAGCAATTCTTTTTAGAACTTTTTGGGTACAGACATCATACCTGCATGTTTTTCCTATAATGCCACACACTCACAAGCAAGGGAAGAGACTATAGCACCTGAGATCACCACTTTTAAGAGCTTCTTTCAGAGAAGTCAACAAACGTTCATGGAAAGAACTGAGAACAAAGCAACAAGATTTCAGAAGCTTCTTTTTTATTTTGATCATAAAGGCAAACAGTTTCGAGAAGAGACAAGGGCTCTAAGCATTCCAAAAATAAATTAAGGGGACAAATAATGTCCGTGAAATGTGCGCTCACCACTTTTGCGTGCTTGAAGCGGGGATTCGAGAACAACACACATGCTAGAGTCAAAGATGGCAGTATAAAGATGTAACAAAAATATGTGCTAGGCTGAGGTACACCTAAGAGGTTAACAAACAAAAATGTAAAACATCTTGAGACCATAACAAAAGTATAGTAGTGTAACCAAGAAATTGCACCCAGGAGTGGAATGACGTAATGTTTACGTATACATAACATACTGACAGACTTCACCGCCACCACAAACTAGAGCTTTGTGCTTGGAAACCTTTCATAAAATCTCGCTCACAGCAACATCTATCCATGTCCTCACTTCTGCAGCTTCTCAAAGCACAGTATTAAAGAACAAATTGTTTGGACACAGGATGTTAAAACCAACATAGAAATTATGTGCACTTCAATTCAGTGTATCCACAATCAGACTGCTCATCGATAAAAACCTGGAAGTTGTTGACACCCACACCAATAAAACAGCAATTTACAGCAAGATTTAGTAAGCCCATAACTGCTTAATAAATAGCAGGAGTGCACAGGCATGTGCATTGATAGCATGATGCATATATAATTTAGAATGCCCACTGCTGCTATTCAAGTTGTAGATTATGCAGGTCGAATGTGCATGGGCAGAGCAATTAAAAAAAACAGAACATTTTGACACGTACCACAAGCAAAACTTAAAAACATGGCAATTGTGACCAGTTTTCAGAATAAAATGCGACCAGACGGTGGATGTAGAAAAGCAGATAAACTGCAAACTCCTAGCAGTAGTATATGCATGCTTTTCTACATCATTTCTTAGCACTTTGTTGGTTTTGTTCTTTTTATGCAAGAATTGAGAGCCATTTGTTTATGGTGCAGTTATGAGTGTCACGCAAGTCATACAAACAGGAACGTGCACTCACGATAATGATTACAAATGAGCCTTTTGGTGACATTCAATCCCGTATTCTAGAATGTCCCTTCACTCAACGCTTCACCTTCACTTGAGAAAGGTGATGGGAGCGCCGTCTATGGGCACGGCAAGTACCAGCATATCAGCGATAACCTGCTGTGATTATTGAGTAGCGCAGGGTCATTTTCCGCCGAGCAGCAGCGCAGTGCAAACTCTGTGAAGTGAATGAAGGGTTAAAGTCGAGTCGAGAAGCATTTGTGAATACCAGGGTCAATTTTCAACTAACTTCAACACAGGCGACAATGCTTGAGGCCCATGAACTAGATTTAGATGCATGTTGAAGAAACCCGGGCGTTCAAAATTGCCGGATCTCTCCACTACTGCATCTCTCAATCATATGACGGTTCTGGGACGGCAAGCCCCAAACAATACTATTATTGTAATTTTGGATAAAGATATCATTAAAACTACTAAAACCAATAAAACCATTACAAACTTTAGGACCATGTCGGGAGGCAAACCATCTCCTATTGTCCTGAACGTCGGCAATGCATTTGTATTGTCTAAAAAATATGAAATAAATGAAGTAAAAATGAAAACATTAGCCAAATACACAGTGTTGTCACTTTATGAATTGAGCGGAGGTCTAACGGACGTTAAGCTTGTTGAGGACATCAAAACATCACCTTCAGTGTATAGGCGATTAGCTGAAGCAAATGTGGAATAAAATTCTTTGGACAAGGTGTGCCACATTTTGTAGAGACATTTGATGAGATTTAGCAAATTAATTTTTTTTGCTTAAAAAAAAGACTGCACTGCACACACGTCTACATTCCTCTCTTCTTTTTTTTAATGTACCAGAGGAACAACAAACAGCATTAACAGCATTTAATGCGACTGCGATTTTCCTTTGGTCCTGTAACTTGTCCACACCCAAACCTCCAAGTTCCAGCGATAGTGTCGGCAAGAAAATCATGTGACTAGACACCGATATAGTAACAGTGCTTTTTCACAGACTGTGAATGAAAGATTGAAAGTGCCTTAAAAGTCGGCACGTGCCCCAAAAAAGGTTGCCAGAGAAGGTACTGAGGTTTTCAAACCTTTTATGTTCCCCTTTAACAGCTTGGCACGACAGCTAGCTTGTGCAAAGTCACGAGTAAAATTGGCAAGGCAGTACTTACATCAAAACTGTGGCTCTTGCAACAATTAGAGGCCATGTTGCAATCTGTCTGTGAGCTTGAGTTTTCCTTAAATGCGACTTGTCACTCACGCCAACACGGCGTGACCTGAGCTATGAGCATGAAAGCCAAAGGCAAGATTCGAACACAGAGAGTCTCTGTTGCACGGGCAATCAACTGTTTTAAAAAATGTCTGATTACACTTATGCCTAGGTGAGTAATTCCAAATGTGTAATAGCAGCAGTACATTTCAGCGATCATCAAGTGAATGATTCCCTAAAAGTGACCTTGGTTCTGTGGTCAGCGTAACCGGGAAAACTAACCTCGCCAAACCTTCCGTGCGACACTGCTTCGAAACAGAATGAATCTGCCAGTCTTGATTTAGAGCAAGCCAAATTTTTGTGGTACTGCAACTCCTTTACAGACAGCACCTCAGAGACTGGTGCATCAACAATTGTAAATGGTTCAATAAAATACGGCCCAACAGTTTCCAAAATGACGACAGAGAACTTCTGCATTGGAACCCAAAAGTAGCAGGATGTTCTGTAAATTGCATGTAATTTATAGAAGGTAGTCTACCGTAAAGGGCAAATTGGCAGCAAGGAGTTGGCAAGCGATGTCTGGTAACCATGTGAGCACCCTGAAAACAGTATATAGAATTCTAACACCACACATTAAGAATGTTGCTAAAGACATCCAAACGTGTCAACGTAGCTCAGAGTTTCAACTCGTGTAGATTAAAATAAGTGTCACAGCAAACAACACGCGAAGATCTTTTTTCTTTTTTTGGACACAAACACACTGAACGCAGTTTAGCTGACTCGCACGATAACAAGCTTTGGCTGATATCGGCGACAACGTATGTTACTTCTCCGAGAGCATGTTTGCAGACAAGTGGCTACAAACACGTTAGTACCTAGTCCCAGCTGCTTGCAGTGCTCGAAATCTTGATGTGCAGTACATCACGAGAGTCACATTGCATGCGGTACATCACGTCGACAAACATGCCACACTCTCTCACCAACAGGAATGATAGCTGTGAAGTTGCACCGAAACAAATCACTTCAGCAATAATATAACGCTAAACTTGAACCATTCAACAAGAGAACAAAAACTGGAATGTGATTTTTTTTTAAAAAGAAAAGGTTGTATGGACTTTGCAGCTCAGCCATACAAAGATATAGATTCGATTAGGAACCTTAATAAAACAACCCTGGAAGTCCTTCGCAACACATCCACAAACCTTAAAATAAGAGGCGATCCCCTTTGTAGCCTTTCGACAGCAACTCATTCAATGTACTTTCCACTTCAAGTTTTTGGTTACACTGGACTTTCTTTATTTTGGTTTTGCTAGATGTAAACGAGTGACTAGGTGGAACAACCTACAAACCAACTACTACAGCTACTTAACGAAACCTGTGTCATTTACCAGTGTATAACTATTCCAAGATGAGCTGATGGCTGAAGACTCGTGGGCAAATTAGGCCCCGACAAATTTCTCTAATGTTTCAGCCCTATTTGATGGTAAAGTAGAGCGCCGATGTGCGACTTCAGCAGCAATTAGAAATGTTTAAACGACACAAGACAACCCAAGATCCGTCACAGCAAAACTTCAAGCGTAACAGCTTTCTCGCACATATAAAAGAAAAAAAAAAAGAATGTCGATCTTCTCACTGACATTGTCCAAAACGGTAGTAAAAATGCAAGCATGTAATCCCATTTGGTTCAGGAGTAGTACAATATTCTAAATGTTGGTTTGCCACTGCCCACGATAAGATATGCTCTCCTTTATCATGCAATGTGAACTACAAGCAAACCACCCTGCAAACGTATAGTAAAGTACGGGTAAGACGTATACGTAAAGATTTGTGGAAATTAATATTCAAGAGTTGCAACAAGAAGATGGCAAGAGTAACAAGAAGCCTGCCAGTGGAAACCGCAACACAATAAGCTAAAGGAGGGCCGTTAAGACGAGTAACGCGTCATGAGGATGCCTGAGATATGGCGACAGCTTCAACCGGGACGGGACAGAAAAGCACGTGTGACGGCTGTGCATCACGTGACTAGTGGCAAGGGTCACGTGGCCAAACAAAGACGGACTCGTTTTCACTTTTTTTTTTCTTGCCGAGTTCCGTCGCTCAGATCTTCCAGGCGTTTCGCATCATGAGGTCGAAGTAGGCATCCGTGTCGATGGAGGCACTCACACCCGCGTAGTAGTTTACGAATTCTTCGATTGTCACCTGCAGAGAAAAAATGCCACGAGTGATCCAAAACACGCCGGTGAAACGAAACATCAAATGCATCTAGTATTATTCTGGCATCGGAGGCGATTCAACAAGAAACTGCCATCTACACTGCAAGCAAGCAAGCAAGCAAGCGAGCAAGCCAGGCTCTCTCTGGTGTTTATTAAAGAAAGGGACTGTAGGCTGTCAGTTTTTGTGGATGATAACTTCAAAAGAGACAATACACTATTCTGACACAGAAATGCTGGCACGGTACAAGCCCACAATAACAGATTAAAGACCCTCTTTAGATAAGTCGTTATAATTAGGCACCCGAATTCGACAAAGATGAAGAAATGCATCACATTAGGAATCACCATGTGAGCGCCACAGAGGAATCTTCTGTATCGATTTGAAAAAATAAATTGAAACATTGCTGCGTAGTGGCCACAAGTTACATCAACACCTAATCTAGTGGTGTACAAGTCGTCATTTTAGTAAGATCCCCAGGAAGTTACTGCATATGCCTTGTAATGCTATTGTTCATGTCTCAATTCTGCGCCTTTACATATAAAAATATTGATCTGATTAGAAGGCGTACAATATGAGGGGCACAGTGGTAGAACAGGAGAGGTGGCCAGAAAAGAACCTCAAGCGCTTACCACACCCCTTAGCTTAAGTTGCTCACATCAACTGCTGGGACGTGAATTTCGATAAATTTTCATTGTTCTTGAAGAATACGTAAATACAGTACAAACTGTGCATATGACCAGTGTAAAAGCCACAATGCATTGTTCGCGACACCCTTTCCACTGAAATCGCAGCTCAGCATCCCCTTTTTTCTAAAGCCAAAATGTACTTTGACACCAACCCTTATATATCACCACAACCAACGCCGCCAAACGCACGTAATAACGATTACCCATTTTGCTGGAAAAATGGCTGGCAAACCATTGTTTGTCCATCATAATGCAGCCAGTGTGTTTTAGGCCAGTAGGCAGACCACAGCTGAAGCTCCTAATCTTCGACAGCATCCACTATGCCAGAGTTTCGTGACATATTGAAAGTACTGCCCGAAGTCATAGCGAAGCTACTGAACACCGCGTATTAGCTGTGGACTAAACTGTGGTCGCTAAAGACACTACCATAGCATTTACGCACTAATGAAGGCACGTGCGCGGCTTACGTTGAGGGTCAGAAATGAAACTGCCGAGTACAGCATCTGCTTGCACAATCATGGATGATGACTATGCAGTTTTGAAGGCATGCGCCAAAATGTCGCAGTTTTGACAGCAGTCCCCATCAACCGTGTCATAGATAGCGCCCACAGAGTTCACACGCACCAATTAAAATTGAAAAAAAAAAAAAACACGTCTGCTGCAGCTACGGAAGCATCGATTGCAGACAATGCGATCGTAATGACATTTCGGATGGCACCGATGCCTTATTGAAGGCTTGCGGTTGATTCGATTGTTTGTGAATGCCGTTTTTAACTTCTTTGTGCCATGCAGCTACGGCGCTTGACATGCTCAGAACTGTCTGAATGAACTAGGTTGTGGCCAAATATACGAAACTTTCATATCATTATAAAAAAAACATGTGCTGGCAGAAACCAGCGAAAGCATTCAAATTATAAAATTTTCCAACTTGACAAGGATCTAATTACCAAGCTTTAACTGAAAATGTTTTTTTTTTTAACATGGAAATAAGAAGAAACAGGTTTACTTCAAGTGGACGCATAAACAAATATATTTTCCACTTGATTCATTTATCAGTGATCTATTAGCCCCATAGTTCACAAAACCAATTAGCATCAAGCAAAATAAAGAGACAAAGAACAAGTCTGCATGTGTACTGCAAGTGTAAATCTGCACGAAAAGTCTATTTAAGCAACATTAACTCTTTGGTGTTGAATATTCAAGAGCTCTCTAGTGTAAACAGCACTTCACTGCAAAGCTCTTTGTCGTAAGCCAGAGATATAAAAATACAGTTCAAATGCTCATGGCACCAACCGGCTACATGCTTTCAAGTAGAGGAGAGTGGAGAAATCAGTCCGCAGTACCCCTGCTGCCACCTAGCCCAGAAGTAGCCAAAACTGAAGAGCTTTCATGTAACACGTGGCAACTACTACTGTGAATGGGGGTCTGCGGATGTGGAAAGCTACAGTCAAAACACGGAGGCCCGTAGTTATTCAATATGTGCTTGACACATTGTGCTCGAGTATTTGGGGAACGAACACATTTAAGAATTCTTTTTCTCTCACCCTATAACCATATGAAATTGTATAATCGAATGAACGTCATAGCCCTAATTATTATTGATTTGTTCTGAAGTGTTTTGCCAAATATACTGACTGTTTATCTGTAATATTGTGTTGTTTTCTTTGTTCTTATTATTTTTTTTTCAAACGTGTTCACTGTTGGGCCATTTTTAGTGCTCTCCCTGCTTGGACTACCTCTCCACCATATTTGATAAACTTAGAACCATAGAACAGTGGCTATCACCACTAGAATTCAACTGGCTAACTAGTGCTCTGCAGTATGTTGCCAAAGCTATAGTGCCACTACGACAGGTCTTTCAGATCTCCTTCTCACATTTTTCATTAAAGATCAGCTGAGCTGTAACACTGATTCAGCAACTGTGTTAATATGGTTAAGTGTTTGAAGGCAAGCTATAGCTGCTGAGCCACTTGCTGCCTTTCAAGTATGATTGGTATTCATGACCAAAGATTCATAGAATTACAATGCACGGTTTATGCCATTCTACTGAAAAACCTTGATGCTGTTAAAACATGGGCTGTTCCAAAGCGCTAATTTGGGCAAAGAAGCAAGACGATACTAGCCAACAGGGCAAAACGTCAACAATGGGCATAGGCATAAGTGTTTCACCTCTAATTCTCCCCATCAGCAAGCAGGGTGGCCTTTCAGTGCTCATACTGTGCTATCTCTGTGTTTAAGCACTGCATCAACCATGTAAATATTTCATCGACATTCGTATTTGCACCACCCAAAATGAACACCAACAAGTGAGCGGACACAACATCGGCACCGTGCTGAGCACAACAAAGCACCTAGGTTGTGCCCTTTAGCTCTCCTCGTTCATTCTGGACCTCGCAAATATGTTGATGCCAAAACCAACTACCCTTTTACCAAATATCCCAACTAGCCCAGCTTTCTATTCTACCTTACAGGTTTGTTCCTACACTCAGGCAGTCTGCACAAGATTTACTTAAAGCTCACTGGTGTTCTCACCTTGCCGTCGGGGTCGTTGGGGCTGTCAAAGTTCTTCAGGAAAAGCAGGAACACCTGGTCCTCAGTGAGTTCCCCGTTCTGGTACTTGGGGTGCTGCCGAGCATTGTACACGCCCTTGAGGTCCTGGACGGTGATGATGCCGTCGCCACTTTTGTCCATCTTGTGGAACGCCTGGGTGATGCGCTCCAGGCGGGCTGCTGACATCGGAGGCTGCACGCGACAGAGACGGGCAAAAGGAGAAGGGAAAAAGCGAGAGTGAGAGGGACAGAGGAAAGGAAAAGTGGGGAGTAAACAGTTTGCTACCATACACACGGTGTGGAAGAGTGGATGCAAAAGATGACAAGAAAGAAGGGGAGTGCTAAGTTTGTTCTGGACAGTCCAGTCTAGCAATGGCCAGCCAGAACTTCACAGAGAACAGACTCAGGCAATACGTGCATTGAACTTGCCAATGTGGCCTGAATGCCATTTTACAGATAAAAGGCCCACACTATGGATGTCCTTTTTGTCATCCATTGTTAAATATGAGAGAAAATGGGCAGGTTCAATGAACGAAACAAGGACATTATTAAGGAGTGAGTGAGAAGTTATTAGAAGGCAGAGAGGTCGGCCTGAGCTAGTTCGCATCTAGCCTGCTACTCTACACAAGGGATAAAGGAAGGAGGAAGGAAAGAGAGATGAGGGATGATGATGGGGACGAGAAAAGGTGGTGCGTATGTACAGTCGTCCTTTAGCATAGTACCCTAAAGTCTAGTATCTAGTTCAGTGCTTTTGATAAAGTCTAAAACAGCCTTTGTAGCAGTTTTAGACACTGTTTGATCGTTCATTGCTGACAATATGTGGCTTTCACTCAATGGTATTTGTCCAATGCTTGCCAACCTTGAAGTTGGCATTTTTCTTTGCACCACGTATAATGGGCAGTCACAAAATGTGTGAGCTAAAGTTTTGCGCACTTAGCAGCACACACAATTTGGGCTGTCCGCATAGCCGATTAGGTGGGTGTATATTAGCATGTCTGCGGATGATTTTAGCTGGAAGACAAAAAGTCATACCGGGGTCTGTTTCCCGCAGACGCTTGTTCCGATGATCTGGTGGCGACCAGTAAGTGGCAGCGCATTTGCGCATGAGCGATCTCAACAATGTGTTGACGTGATTTCACGAATACAGTACTTTCACATACATAGGAGCATTGTATACAGCCGCTCTTGCTTTGCTATCGGCTATTTCGTTGCCAACTAGGCCGCAGTGTCCCGGAATCCATTGGAGTATAATCAAGTGACCACTCCTGTGTGTTAGGTCAAATGCTTGGACGATTCCCAACGCTGACACGTAAAACTGGCCTCTTCTTGAGCAAGAATGGGTAGCTTGAAGCGCTGATTTTGCATCGGACAGAATCATCTATTTACGCGGTGCTTGGTTGAGCAGTTGAGCACTGCCTTCGTAGCGGTCACTTGCAATGTCGTCTCAGGTCAACGTTACAGAATGGTTTCTGCCGTCATTGGTTTCTCATTTGTGCGAGCTAGAGCAGCTGCTAGAGATGTTCTCTGCACTGTAGCGAGGATTCAACGAAACACTGACGTTGCCTCTCAGGTTAAGCATGTATGTTTATCTTTGTTGGAAGTGCACTTTAGTATGTTGCGTGCGCTGCGTCAACTCACACCAGTCGTTATTTTTCCTAGTCGACATAGGCAGCACACCCCGTCCTGTCAAGGCACATGCTGAGCGAGGGTTGACGCTGTGCTCCCGCCATGGCAGCGATGGCGCTGCCACCGGTGTGAAGTCACATGGAGTGATGAGGAAATGCCCTCACTCTCTTTACGACTTGGCATTGCTTTTGGATCGTACTCCTTCTTAATAAGTCCGTGGCTGGGATACTGCAGCTTATTCCGATGCACTCCTCCGATAAGTTGAACATCGGCGACACCGCATCCACTGTACATTGTGTGCGAGTGTAATAGAGGAATTCTGTTGAATTATTTGTTATGTTACTGCGTATCATGTGTTATTCTTAAGGGTTTGTTAGGAGGCTCCCCACTGAGTAAGAGCGACTAATAAATGCTTATCTGTGCGTTCGTCCACGCAATGGCCTGAACTGTGTTCTTGCAGTCTATGAGCACGGCTCAATCTTAAATATTTTATAAGGTGTAACACATCAAAGCCACAATATGACTTTGAGATGCCATAGAGAAGGACTCAGGAAATATAATCCACCTAGTGTTTTTTCACGCGCACCTTAATTTAAGTAAACGGCCCTTTGGTTTTTTTCTAATTCATCGGAAATGAAATCGGCCCGACCAGGATTGAATCCCGCAACCTGCGGCAGCTTTTCCAGACTCCATGCACCATGACAAAACTCAACTCAATAGCATCTACGAAAGTCATAACGATTCCTTGAGTAGACCCAGCTATTTGAGACCCAACTTGCTGAAAGAATGAGTTGGGCTAGTCGATGGCATTACAAAGTGGCAATCTTCGTACAACCACTGGACCCAAGAAAACTGAGCTACAAAAGCCACTCAGTAACTGTATTTGCCTCCCATGAAATTGTTCATGACCATGCCGTGATCATGACCATGCCGTGAAAGGTGTGTGTGGTGTGAATAAATGACAAAAATTGGTGATAATGAAAAACGATGGTGGACATGTATGGCATTAGCACAAGTACCTCACTCGTTCATACCCTTGCGTCCAAGGGCCGTGAGGCAAGTGCTTTCCTGTGTAGCCACCGCAGCAAGAACCTCTCTGGAGAGGTCGTGCTACGGAATGCCCGGGTATATGATATGAAAATTATGAATTTCTTCTAAAAACGCTAACAATGATTTATGACTAAAAAGTGGTTCCCTACCAACGAACATTGCAGGGTGTAAAGGTATATGTTGTCTGTAGGGTAAAGAAAAATGCTGTTTTTTTAGAGTTTCTAAGTGTTTGCACTGAATTAACATGTGAAGGACTGTTAATGCTTCACCACATTTGTCACACAATGGTGGATCGCCATCGGACAAAATATATGTGTGTGTCGTGTATGTGTGTCCTATCCTCAGTCTCGTTAGTATTACCTCTATATGACACGATTTTGATACTGGTAGCCAATGACCAAGGTGTGGCTTAATAATGTGTAGTTTGTTTTGTGTGTGTGTGTATCCCACTTGCTCTGCCAGTAGTCCCTGAGGTTTCGCTTGAGAGACGGCTTAAGATCAAGGGCCGAGATTAACATGGGTGTAGGGGCAGTGCTTTTGTGGGCGGATGCAGCGAGCTGATCCGCCCTCACGTTGCCTTGGATCTCACGGTGCCCTGGCACCCAGCACACCACAACATGTTGTTTGAGTGTGTAGAGCGTGCACAAAATGGAGTAAAGTGAGACAAGGACCGGGTTTTTTTGTTTTTTAAGACTGTGCAGAGCCGTTACCACACTGAGGGAGTCTGTATAAATTACTGCTTTTTGTATTTGTAATTGTTTGATGTGATTAGCTGCCACAAGTATCGCGTAAGCTTCCGCTGTGAAGATACTTGTGCGAGAGAACAAGACACAGGTGTTTGTTTGTGGGTTAAGTCGAAATCCGTTTTCATCTGCCCATTTGGAGACCTTGTTTAAACCCAGCTGAACCTGCCGCTCACACATTGCCAAGTTGCATGACTTGAAGCCAAGCTGAACGTCGTCGACATATGTACAATAAAACATATTGCAGGGGATGGACAAGTGCAAGGAATTCATTTTGATAATAAAAAGTGTGCAACTAAGTACACCACCTTGTGGCACACCCGTTTCCTGGACAAATGTTTGGGAGAGAACACTGCCCACACAGACGCGGAATGTCCGGTTTGACAGGTAACTTTCGATTATGTGAAACATTCTTCCGCGCACACCAAAGTGGGACAGGTCTCTTAGAATTCCAAAACACCATGTTGTATCATAAGCCTTTTCGATATCGAGGAACACAGAGAGAAAATATTGTTTATGGACGTAGGCGTCTCTGATCTATGCCTCGATACGAACAAGGTGGTCTGTGGTGGATCTACTTTCTCGAAACCCGCACTGAAATGGGTCGAGCAATTGTTTGTTTCAAGTATATGTACGAGTCGGCAGTTTATCATTTTTTCGAAGACTTTGCACAAGCAGCTTGTAAGAGCAATAGGCCTATAACTTGAAGCTAAACAAGGGTCCTAGCCCTCTTTCGAAATGGGAATAATAATAGCCTCTTTCCAGGAGATAGGGATAGTGCCTGAAAACCAGATAGCATTGTACAAACAAAGTAAGGTTTTTCGTGTTACGGCTGGTAGGTTTTTTAACATTTCATACACCACACTGTCAGAACCTGTGGCAGAAGTACTGCAGGAGTTTAGAGATGGTCGGAGCTCAGCTAGACTGAAAGCTTGGTTATATGCCTCGTATCTAGTGGATTTGTGTTCGAGTTTCCGCTTTTCTATTCTTGTTCGGTATTTTTGGAAAGTGTCAGTATAGTGGGACGAGCTGGATACCTGTTCAAAGTGTGCACCGAGGAAGTTTGCCTGATCTTTCAAGGTGTCACCCTGAGTGTTTAAGAGTGGAAGTGTGTGTACTTGTTTTCCTGCTATCCTACCGACCATGTTCCAGACTTTAGCCTCCTGTGTGTATGAATTGATCCCTGACAAAAACTTCTGCCAGCTTTCTCTTCTGGCCTGCCGACGCGTTCTCCTGCCTTGAGACTCTATTTTCTTGAAGGTGTCAAGATTTTCGGCTGTCGGTGAGTTTCGAAGCAGCCTCCAAGCTCTGTTTTGCTGTTTGTGCGCGTTTCGGCATTCAGAGTTCCACCATGACACACGCCGTTTTCCAGGGTATCCATTTGTTTGTGGAATGCATTTTGTTGCAGCATCAATCAAAAACGCTGTGAAGTAGTTGACAGCAACATCAATGTTCAAAGTACATATGTCATTCCAACCTAGACGAGCGATGGTATAAAACTGTTCCCAGTCGGCTCTTGCCACTTGGGAATACAGTCGCCGACCGATTTTTCGGACCTGGCGGGGACCGAAAAAAAGTACGAAAAATCGAACAGTCCGAAAAATTCGTTTTCGCCAAAAATCTGAAGTTTATTGCATCAGGCAGGTTTAAAAAAGTCCTTGATGCTGCCTTGCCTCAAACTACGCTTGGAGGCAATTTGGTTTGCCCGTATTTGCGCCAAGGTGACATCGTCGCCGTAAACGCTCAACAAAATTGTCACCGCGTTGGCGATCTCCGCCGCCGACGGCTGCGGGCGGTCGTCGTTGTCGTCATCCGACGATAACGACGACCGCCATCCGGCGTCGACCGTCATCCGGCGACATCTAGCTGCGAACGTCCACTCTCTATTAGCTTGATTATGGCAGCTTTCTTCTCCATCGTCAGGGTCGTATACTTCCCACGCTTCTTCACACCACCCGGCTCCCGCGATGGCACAGATGGCGGAGCCATGGCACCGAGAACACAAAATTCGATGCCGCAGATAGCCGCTGCGAAGCACACAACGTCTCGACGCTACGCGACACAACACGTGCAGAATGGCGCCTGAAAAAAGCTGCAACGACGATAAAAGAATCCTTCTTTCGCCTCCTCCCCGTGCGATGTGATGACGATAGTGCTGACCGAAGACGAAAAAACGGCATCCATCACCGCGTCTTTTAAAAAGCAAACACGGCCTCCGAAACTTAAAATATGGCGTGCGCATTCCAATCTCGGAGGCAGGAAAGGCATCTGAAAACCAAGCTTAGCCAAGCCGACGGAAAATCCAACATGGCGGCGCTCACAATGGCTTGGGGCGTGGCACAAAACGAGCGATTTAGTCCGAAAAATCGAACTTTCAGGGGCAAATTCGCCCGAAAAATCGGTCGAAACAATGCATTAGCTCTATGGGATCTCTGACGGTCCATTTATGAAGTCCGGAATATCCAACAAGTCCGAATTTTTGGAGTCCGAAAAATCGGTCGGCGACTGTACATGGTGGACACTCAGTTACTGTAGCTGTGCTCAAAACTACGGGGAAGTGGTCACTTCCGTACAGATTACTGACGACTTTCCACTGGAGTAGAGGCACAAGAGATGGAAATACTATGCTTAAGTCTATGGAGGAGTAGGTGTTATTGGCGAGATTATAATAGGTTGGTTCTTTTCGATTTAGGAGACACGCGCTCGACAAGAGAAGGAACTGTTCAATCAGTCGACCTCGCGCGTCATACCGAGAGTCACCCCATAGCCTGCTATGCGCATTAAAGTCTCCAAGGAGAACATAAGGTTCCAGAAGTTCATCAATTAAAGAGTGTAAATCACGTTTTTGCAGCTGATAGCTAGGAGGAATGTAAATAGTGCAGATTGTGATCAGTTTATCAAAAAGAACCGCTCGAACAGCCACTGCCTCAAGGGATGTTTGGAGTTGTAAGTGTGTGCATGCAATTCCTTGATTCACTATAATGGCAACACCTCCGGATAATGTCATGGCATCAACGCGGTCCTTTCGAAAAATAGCATTTACGAAGAAAATTTGTGTGTTTTGAATTAAGGTGTGTTTCTTGTACACACAGCACTTTTGGTGAGTGTTCGTGTAAAGGTTCTTGGATGTCGTCAAGGTTTCTGAGAAGGCCCCTGACGTTCCATTGTATAATTTGAGTGTTCATGGTGAATGTAAAGTAGTGCTGTGTGTATAAAAAGCGAGTGTCTGTTTAGACAGGAAGCTTGAGTTCACTTAACAGGGCTGCCACCAGGCCCTGTTATCTGCTTTTTTGTTTTCTTGGCGCGCTCCAAGGAGCCACGCCGCTCTTTCGGCACCAAGGGTACTGATGTATCCATTGCATCCTCGGAGGCACTGGATGCCCGCACGTGCGGGCTGTTAGTTCGAATTTCGGGCCTCGCCTGGTGAGGTGAGGCCTAGAGACCCGAGGACTCTGGAGTCTCCGGTCTCTGTTTGGGAGTAGGCGGTGTAGCCTGGGCCACAGCCGCCTTGGGGGCAGGTGCCACAACCACCGACTTGGTATGCGGGGGGCGAAGGAGTGGCGAGGGCTGGTGCGGCGGTGCCCTCTGACGCGCCGCATCAGCGTATGTAGGTCCATAGAATGGAGCGACTCTTCGCCGTGCTTCATTAAATGAAATGTTCTCCTTCAACTTCTACGTAATTATATCTTTTTCTTTTTTCCAGTATGTGCAGGAGCGTGAATATGCGGCATGGTTTCCTTCGCAGTTTACACAGTGTGGCGGTTGTTTGCAGTTCTCAGACACATGGCCTAGGACTCCACATTGTGCACAAGTTTGGCGACCACGACAGGTTTTAGAGCCATGGCCATACCTCTGGCATTGGAAGCAACGACGAGGGTTTGGTATGTACGGCCTGATAGATGTCTTCGTGTACCCTGTTTGAATAGATTCCGGTAGTTTACTGGATGCAAACGTGAGTATTAAGTGTTTTGACCGTGTTTCCTTATTATCTCTTCTGATGATGATTCTCTGGACATTAGTGACATTTTGGCTCTTCCAAGCCTCCAAAAGTTCAGTCTCAGTCAAGTCAAGTAAGTCCATGTCAGATACCACTCCGCGAGTTGTGTTCATTGATCTATGTGGTGTTATGGTTATTGGTATGCCACCGAAATCTGAAAGACGGTCTAGCTTTTCAAATTGTTCTTTGTCACGAATTTCGAGAAGAAGGTCTCCGCTAGCCATTTTGGTTACCTTGTATCCTGTGCCAAGAGTTTCGGTAAGACATCTAGCAACTACGAAAGGAGAGACGGTCCTGGCTTGCTTTTCAGTTTTTTCACAGTGGATAACATGAATGTGACGATATGTTTCTTTTGGCTGGTTGAAAAAATTTATATCATCTGTGCGTACCTGCTTTAAGCCGGTACGATAAGACAGTAGGGGGAATGCTCTATGCATGCCTGTCTTATTTTTGTTCAGCAGCGATGGCGGCCAACCACCACGGAGCCCAACGAGGGGACGCTACAAGTTTGCGAATGCTGAAACCTGCAGACGCCAGCCGTACAACGCCACTATAACCCAATGCGCCTAGACCAAGGTAGGCTATTTGCACAGGGTTAACCCTAGCCGCCAGGAAGTTTGGAAGTAAACGGAAGAGAGTAGAAGACAGGACAGATAAATTGTAAGAGATAAAGACGAAGATGTAGGGAGAGAGAGACAGGAAAAGGTGACTGCCGATTTCCCCTGGGTGGGTCGGCCCAGGGGTGCCGTCTACGTGAAGCCGGGGCCAAAGGGGTGTGTTGCCTCTGCCGGGGGGCCTTAACGGTCCAATCACCCAGCGTAGGCTCAACCCCCAGGATCCCCTTTTCCCCGGACACGGCAAAACCACGCACGGCTAGGCATGGGAGGGAGTAGAAACTCTCCCGTTAGCTCGGGTTCGTGGTGTCGCTACACACCAAACGCCTACTTGCGCAGGCGCCCCTGCGGGGCAAATTGTTGTCAAGCCCCAAGATATATTCAGATGAAAAATCCCAAACCTACAAAAATGACCATCCTAGCCAAAACATGTTGTTGGGCTAGTTGGTTTTCATCCACGATTTGTGAGTAAGCGCGAACAGACAAGGGCATAGAGGAAAACTGACAGGGACAGAGCGCTACTATCAACTCATCTTTTATTTTCGTGCGAACAGATAAATATATACCGAGCGAATGCGTAGCAAGATGACAAAAGAAAATATGGGGGCATATGAAATTGCGAGATTAGCGAACATATGCACTAACCAACCTGCCGTATCGCTTTCTCAAAAAAAAGTTTCTTTACCATAATTTATTGCAGTGACCCGAACTTCTTGTCATGTCTCGATTGTTCTTTGTACACTTGCTGGGTTCAAGCATGTGAATAGACAGAATGTTCTTTTTATTTCCAATATTTTCACTTGCTCGGTATACATTTATCAGTTCGTGCGAAAATAAAAGATCAGTCGAAATTAACGTTCTGTCCGTGTCAGTTTTCTCCCACGTCCTTGTCCGCACTTACTCGCAATTCATGACCATCATAAATGGGCACTTAAGATGTGGCACATTACGCCTGACAAACAAAAGTTGGCAGGTGTATATGGTACAGCACAACTTGACATTAGAACGAAGGTCTGCCACACTCACCCTGAGGGCGACGAGGAACTCATTGAAAGAGATGGTGCCGTTGCCGTCCCTGTCGAGCTCCTTGAAGAGGGCGTCCACCTCACTGGGGCTCAGGAACACCTTAAAGTCCTGCAGGCCCTTCTTGAACTCCTCCATGTCGATCTTCTTGTCCCCAGAATCGTCCATGATGCGGAATTGCCTGCCCAGCATTAACCACACACAAGCACACATTGAGCCACACGCTGCAGAGATGGCAATGACATACAGGTAGTACATAAGAGCACAAGGGCCAGAGATGGCCAAAAAGTGCCAAGACAGGATATCGCACATGATCAGTGATAGCGTAAGGTACCTATAGAAGGGCCTTAAAATCTTGCACTTTAAATGTGCATAAAATAAAAATAATTTAAACAATTAAAACAATGAAAAATGTATGCAATTGATGCATGGGATACAGCCAACACTCTTGTAAGATACAAATGTGTACAAAACACATGAATGTACCTACATTAAAATAGTGGTTGATGAGAAAATGTATAAGTGGTATCCTGGTTATGAGAGACACCTCATATAAAAGACATGAATTGTTCCCCCAACGCATGCCTCTACTAAAGGCTTAAACCGTACAATAAAAGGGTGAAGAAATATTATGCGCTATTGCCTCGCAAGGGCTCCTGTGAAAAGGGGGCGAGAAGTTTAACACATCGAAAAGATGAAACTTTTGTAGTAGCATCCTCCTGCACAGGATGTTGGAAGAATTTCACAGGCAAATGGTTGTCGGTATATGAACATGCCACACATAACATTGATCAGTTTCTGTCACGAGACCTTAACATGCTTTCAACTAAAACTTTCAGCAACGGCCACAATGTCATATAGTATATCACAGACAGAAAGCATTGACACTTAGCGAACTTTTTATCATGTGGCCATATCTACTACATTAACCATTCAGCGAACGACACATATGCCAACGATAATAGTTAAAAGTGATGCTCTCTCAACAACTACTTGAAATGAAATGCATGGCATGTCGAACACGCAAGATGAAAATGTGAACTGTACCTGCTGCCACAGCCTCTAGCGACATGTACTGTTAGTGTCAAATGAAAGCCAAACAGCGGCAAGCCTTCGCGATAGTGTAGTGCGTGCCATTCAGCTATCATTGACAGGCACTCACATCCTGTTCGGCAGCTCAGTGGCACATACCCGTGGCTGTACATGGTGATAGATGGACGGCACGCACTATACCAACGCAAAGGCTTGGCGCTGTTCGGGTTTCTTTTGACGCTGATAGCACTTGTCATGCACGCCTACGCTCTGCCTTGAGAGTAGGTACTAAGCATTTTTTGTTGGCAGATAATGACCTCCAGTGAAAAATTCATGTTTAATAGTGCAAGGGGTTCACGAATAGAGCTGCAAAACTAACTTTATTATGTTTCAGCAGCAATGTTTCCTTCGGCTACGATCGAGTGTTGGAGTCACTGAACTGGAAAGGAAGGTGGAACAGGCGTCATCAATCCAGCATTCCAGTGTCGACATGCATCACCATTGTGAGCCCATCAAGAGTGTCAGCCCAAGCAACCTACCCGGCGCTGTCACTGTAAAACTCGTCTGCCAAGGCTTGCATGTCATGCTTTTGTCAGGCAGTAGTTATTGGCGACGTTTGTCTGATGACACGGCAATTGTATGAGAAGCTTAGAAAAAAAAAGAGGTGCAAAAAAGGGTGGTATAACTGCTGAAAAATAGAGGTACTGACACAAAATTTCAGGGCCGAGATAGCCTGCGGGGTCGATTCTCGTGAACATTCGTGTATCATCTGCAAGATATCAACAGACAATATAGCTTGGAAGGTATTTTAAATTAATTTTGAAGCTTGCCTGAGCGACCGACTCCATAGCGCTATAGACACCCTCAAAGGTGACCCCGAGGTAACCCCCTACTTCCCTCACGTCACCACGCTGCGGTCAACAAAACAAGTTGTGATGACATCATAGCCGCTATTTTTCTTTTGCCGCATTACTTCACAAAGTCTATATTTCTAGGCGGCTGGTTTCAAAAGCGTTACCGTGGCGCACGCTTAAAAAGCTTTGTGTTTGGCGACATTCCAGTCCTGTTTCCTACTTGAAGGTAATTGTTGATGCAAAACACACGGAAGTGCGTCACAGTTCTGTGTGCTGACATGGTCAAGAGCTGCACACGCTAGGTGGCGACAGTTGCACCTAGTTTTTGAAACTCTCTCAAGCCGAAACTGACTGATAATGAGGGGCCTGTAATTAAATATTTGTTGCGTGCTGCAGCGAAGGATGTGTCGTGTCATGACTAACAGGCCCCCAGCAACGCACTGCAGCAGAAAAACGTGAGGCCATAGTTTTTGTGTCAGTACCCCTTTAAACAACTCATGAACCACCCGGAGACAAAAATTCAGTTATAGTTGGGAAATTGTGCAAGAGTGTACGACAAACACGGGGCCATAAAATTTTTCACGACAGTGCAGAAATAGTGGAGTTAGACGCGTTTGATTATCGAAACCGCGACGATCACTCATTTTACTGTCTCCCGTGTTTCTCTCCCATCTTGACGTACGCGACATACTGAACGGCAGGCTAGGCCTAATCAGCGTTAATTGCATTTCAGTAGCAGTTGCGTGCTAGCTAAGTTGACATTTGGTACAGAATCCACGAAACTCTTTGCAGTGGTTGCACTTGAAGGGAAGGAATACATATCGTTAAAGAAAACGAGGGTGGCACGTGTAGCACTCGAACAGTGATTTGCTATTCGATTGCGATGACTTGAAATCGGGTGCGTGCCCGTGAAACAAAACGATTGGCGTCTTTCAGTGCATGAATTTTCGAACATGATTTGGCATAGTTTTTGTGTAGTGCGCACTACCAAGGCATTCTAAGACATAGTCGGCGAATTTCGACAATGTTACTTTCTTGGCAGTGAAGGACTGCCAGTGTTGCGTGATGCCAGTCCCACATTGTCGTGCTTCGTATGCAATGCCACAGCTCCTGAGCTGTCACAGTGCATGTTCACCTATTGCCCATTTTGGGCCTATCTAGCCTAACCTACGTCTAACACAGCATAAATGCCTTTCCCAGTAGTTTCCAGTTACCTTTGTCCTGGATACCAGTCTGTACCATCATTGTAGAGCTCATGCATGTGAGCTGCTGACACCACTTTAAGATGGCAACCGAGAGCAACAAAACGGGTATTGATCAAGGGCTCATTTCAGATGTGAAGCAGCTTATGGCGGAGCTCAATCGGGTGGTGTGCGGCGTGACCACTTTTACTGCGCATGCGCAACAGCTGGCCCAAGCAATGCCAGAACGCACTCACGCATGAGCATGTTCTGGCCTGCGTAAAGAGCTGGGTAAGATGCTGGGGCCTCTCCCCCTTACACTCCCTCGGCAACCACATGATTGTGTCAAGGAACGAGCTTCTACAGATGCAATGGCCATTGTCACGCGATAAACACACGTGCTTACGCGTGACGTGGCAATGAAACCATGTGGTGTGCTCCAACAAGAGTTTGGAATGAGTAATAGCAACAGAATTTACAATGAATTCATGGTGTGCTCCCCTTGCAAGGACGCGTCAACATCGAGCAAGGTGCCCGTGATGAGCGGAATTTGAAGACGACCCATGTGCTGCTTCGCATGCTACTCACGATTCCCTTTAGTAGGAGATGGTGTAATTTTTTTTCTTGCTGAATACAACCGAAGGAAACCTCAGGAGCTATCTCGTACACAATTTTTAATACAGCCGGACCCCACTACAACAAACGTCGCTTCAACGAAGGATTTTTTATTCCCAATCAGTTCGCCATTAAAGTCCATCCATCAAAGTTCTGACCACAACGAACCATTTTTCCGGCTTGTTTTCGCTTTAACAAAACTTTCGCTTACAGGAGCTTGACTTGAAAATTTATCTTACGATAATTTGAGCATATCGTCAACCACAAAACTTTTCGAACATTAACTGCACTTTGTCTCCACGAAAATATGCACCCATTGCTCGCTCATAGGAGCGCACCATTGTTTGGTGGTGATGGGGATGCGGCTGGCCGCTTTGAGGCATGGTGCAGGCTCGCTTTGCTATGCCAGCGCCATAAGAGCCAATCCGCATTTATTCAAGATCGCACATTCGCAGCATTGCACAGCAACAAAAGCACTAAAGCATCTTTTAAAGCGCCCAAACCTGTCATTAGTGCTTGTGCACTCGCGTGCGCTACAGCAGCCTGGGCACGGTAAATGTTCACACCGACGTGAGCACAGACAATTACGTCGCAGTTGACGCAGACATTATCCCTCATCATAAGCTAACTGAATAAGCAATAATTGAAGAGGTTTGCCATAACACCGCGTCGCCGGACATAAAAGTGATGCACAACACACATCGGCGCCACCATCAGTCAGTTAGCTCATCATTAGAGATAACATCCGCGTCAAGGGTGATGTATTCTTTGAAGGTGATGGAATGAATGCATTTGACATCATTCGCTTTTTCACTGGAGCCCGCGTTTACGACCTCGCGATGCACTTGCTGACTACGTGCGAGTGTATGCTTCAAGAAATATAGGATTAATGTAACTTAACATCCCTATTTTGTTTTTCAAATTTAGAAATTGAAGAGTGTTATGATTTTAGCATTTTTTCGTGTTGATGTCTTGATTGGTTGTTAGGTGGTATCGCAATTTCACCAAACATTGGTGGGAGGAGGGGTGGAGGAACATGGCGGAGGGGCTGATTGCCATTGTCACAAATTATGAGTGCGGAATTAGATAATGCCAGGCACAAAGCAGGCTCACTTAATTATCAGGCTTGAGAACTTACATTTAGATCCAATCCAAGTCATCTGGAGATCATTCTTTGTGTTTTCTATCAAACGAAACGGTACCTCCGTCTATTCTGGGCCCATTCTTTGCATAGCAGATGACAAATGATTGGCAGCACAGCCTTTTCTGGTGGCTATTCTTACACCTGACCATCAGTCTTGCCTTGATCAATCCCTTGTGGCGCGTTTGCTCCCACTCTATCACAGAACATGCACAAGATAGCCCCCTAACAGACTGCCAAGCCAAGGAATGTGTACAGGCATGACTTACTGTCTGTAGTGTAGTAATTAAACTTGAATATTGATGTAACAAGCATAAACATCACGAATTATCAATTATAATGAAATGAATGCACAATAGCTCTATCCAGGTTACATTACTGTAAACGTATGTTTACCACAAATTTTCCGATATAACGAAGTATTTTAGTGGCATGTGTGATTTTGTTATAATAAGGTTTAAGGGTACGATGTAAATTTAAAGAAATTAAAGCAGATTAAGAGACGACTTGCTGCTACTAGCGACTGCACCTACAATTTTAAATAACGTGTACGATGCTCCACCCATTGAGTTACAGCGATGGTTGTCCTCCCATCGACTTTCATATGACAAAAAGTCAAGAAAAAAAAAAGCTCTTTCATTTGTATTAGGGAGGTTGCCTGGAGATAAACTAAATACAGCACTGCAGACGGGCACGATGAAAAACCAAACAAAACATGCAAAACACACTATAGACCTGGACAGACTCAAAGCGTCTAAGAGAGACCATTGTCCAACAAAGGCGCTCGAACTCACCGTGCGAATCCCTTGATTCCATGTGCCCCACGCTGGAGGCACTGGTGGCGAAGCTTCTCAATGGGAGTCATGGACATGTCGAAGTGCAGTAGTGGTTTCTACGGCAGCGATTGCAGGAGGTCTGCAGAGGTATGCCAAGAATACAAGTGTATGCAGCGAGTTAGATTGGCTTAGAAGAAATTATCATCTCATAAAAAGTTTACGTGGCTTAATAGAAGTGGTTCTCCTGGGCACAGTAAAAAAATATACTAGGAAAAACAGTGCCCTTTTTGTCTTTAATTTTTACAGCACAAACTGTTATGAGATCAAAACTCGGGTCAGGCGTGGCGCCGTAGTTGTCGGTCGCCGTCGCCGGTGTCCGTAACCACTATCGCGAAATAAAAAAACCTAGTAACAAGGACACAGTGGGGCTCAATCAATCAATCAATCAATCAATCAATCAATCAATCAGTCTGTCTGTCTGTCTGTCTGTCTGTCTGTCTGTCTGTCTGTCTGTCTGTCTGTCTGTCTCTGTCTGTCTGTCTGTCTGTCTGTCTGTCTGTCTGTCTGTCTGTCTGTCTATCTATCTATCTATCTATCTATCTATCTATCTATCTATCTATCTATCTATCTATCTATCTATCTATCTATCTTCTGCATGCCAGTCCAGTATTCTACCACTGAGCTACGCTGATGCTTGGGACTTGTTTGCAAACTTGCCTTAGGCAGGCCTGATGTCAGGAAAAGAATTGCATTAATATGAGTAATAAAGCGTTTTAGAATAGCAAAAAACCAACCAGGTGTCACCCAATGCGAACAGCGTCACCCAAGTGTCACCCACCCAGGTGTCACCCACTGCATATAAAAATTGGCACAAAATTTCTAGCAAGTGTTCAGTGGATACCACACTTCTCAGAATAATGATGAAGAATAGTATAGCAAATGCCGGTCTACTACTCAGAAATTATTATTAATGTCGTAGTAGGTACCCAGCAAGTGTGCTTGCAGCAGTTACCCAATGAGTGTTAAGAAAAGGCTTCGAAAGGCCACTCTTCTAGCTTTCACTGTGACTGTGCTGCACCTTTCGCGCAGGCTGCACCGTTAAGCATCGCAACTGTCCCATTTCCTGCTTTGTTGTGGTGGTCTATAGAATACCCCTCTCCTGCGGCAGAGTGTAACTAGGCCAGTTGGGTGAATGCATCAATGAAAGACTCCGATAGCACAATAGCGCCTTAAAGAGAACTTCGACGTCACACCTTGCGACATATTGTAGGGCGTCTGGATGCAAACCCTTTTTCGATAACATCGTCATCTTGCACAAACATAGAGATAAAAGGCAGGACAACTCGCGAAAGTGCGCTTCATTCAAGATACGGGAGATGATTACATATCTGAACCCTCTGTTTGCCTTTTAGATTGTCAACTAAGCCAGTTGTATGAGCTTACTGATAACAGATAATTTCTGCGCATGCGTTTTTGGTTTTCAAAGTGTTTGAAATTTCCTTCAATAAACTGCAGTCATTAGACGACGCTTGTTTGTATTCTCTTTTTCATGCTCAGTCTCGTTCGTGCTGAAAAGTTTTCAAGACGTTCATTCATCTAACAAAGAATTCTGTGAGCAGCTGGTTGATATAAATATTTGCTCAAATTTCAGAAGCCCTTTCTGTCAGTTTTTAAGGCATCCTACTGCAGTACCAATATACATAATGTGAAAAAAAAAAAAAAAAAAAAACTAGCAATTTTTCGGTGCTCAGTGTTGTAGCTCATATGAGGTCTGTCGATTTCATTGATAAGCTCTCCATCACTCGTGTCAGATAAGGAACCTACATCTGCTGACAGCAACTGCTCCGAATTTCGCTGCTGCAGAACTCTGCAAGTTCTCAATGATAAGCCAGCAGAAGCAGTAACAAGAATCGATAAGTGCATTCAGATTTCGTATATTGCGGCAACATGCATTACGATCACGGTGACTCAGGTGAAGCCCCATCAATCGCGATTGCGTTGACATTGTGAGCTGAGAATAGCCGTCCCCAAAACATGCACAGAGGACTGCAAGATAGGCGTTGTTCAACAATAGTACCGCAGTGTAGTTTATTGGCTAGTTACACATGATAGTGCTCCAACAAGGGCATCACCAGAAATTTTTTCAGGAGAGGTTCAATCAGATTAACAAGTGTTTGTACATGTGAATGTGTGTATTAATATAAACACACAATAAATTGAAAAATTTTACAGACGGAGGGGGCATTTGGTTGCATTTCTTTTCTTTTTTTATTTCATGCGATAGCGGACAACATCAGCGGTGGCAGACAACTTCAGCGCAAGAGCAGTCCTTGTAATCTCGGAAAATGTTGCGCTGTGAAACTAGTATGGAAAACCCACCCTCCTTGATTATGCCACAGTGCCACATCCCGCCTAAGTTGTGGGGATAATTTTCAGGGTTTGCTTATCAAATATCTCAAGGTATGCCAACGAAGCCTTCATATTCACAACAACTGCATAAAATAGCCTTAACAATACAAGAATCATTTTGGCCGAGACTAAAACACTCATACCCTATGTACATTTGTAGTAAATATAATCAGCAATTCAATACTGCAGTGCAAGAAATTGGATACTTGTTTAAGGTTAGAGACGTTACAGACCGAGTTCTGACGCACTTAACATGAGCTCAGAGAGTGACATGAAAGACCTCATTTGAGGCACTCCCGAGTTCTTCACAATTTCAACTATACGCATATAATTTTGAAGCTGTATTGAGCGACATATTTTACACCCAAATGCTTTATTTACCCTTAGTCGGCATGATTTGCTATTATACATTGTATGAAAAAATAAGCCAGCAATGCGTCTTCAGACTTATTCAATAACTTCACTCTTAGGTGCAATGAATGTAGTGCAATTACATCTTTTGAAATTTATGAAAAGGCGATAAAGAGCACAAAATAACAAGTACACGAAGATTGATGCCGTGCACACAAGTCTACCCGTGGTTTTAAACTTTCTATTACTTTTGTCAGATGAATAAACAGGTGCGTAGCGGTACCCTTCGGCTAGAGAAAAACGCAGAGAGTTCGTAAGCCATGCTTGATATATTGAAACAGTTGGAAAGCAGTTGTATTAAATAAGCAAGAGGAATTGACAAAAATACAAGCTTATTTCCAATGTTTTTCTTTCCAACGGTAACATTGGGTTTAAACTTGGAACAATAAATGACAATTCAGATTTGAAGCAAATGGCAAACGTGCTACAACTAGCAAACTTATATGTCTGTTGGCATTTCATACAACAGGTCATATTTGTTGTTGTTGAAGCTAAATGCACGTTGTGATTACGTGATCTCCATTGCCACTAATGAGCTTGCATTAACAGGGGACTCTAGTTTATGATAGCTGATTTATGATACCTGGTTTCTCTAATAAACCACCACTGCCATTATTAAACCAGATTTTTTAAATAAAAGTGAGAAAATGGGCAAAGTACCTTCCTATTACTGTAAGAGAACCTCGATTGATTTTATATGAATAGAATATTCTATAAAGTTAAACTGCTTACATCTTGCCATTAATATTGGTATTGATTTATGCCTCTTTTTTATCTTTCCAATCTTTTTAAACATACACATACAAAAACTGAACAAAGGCAGTTTGCTTCCTACTGGCTCTTTCACTTGCATCAAATTTTCACAGTACTCAACACACAAACAGGCATATGTAATCGTGTGTGGGACATCAGGCGACGCATGCGCATTAGAGAAGTGTTTCGAAAGCTGACCAAGGCCTTTCGCTCTAGCTTCAATACGTACAAGCGCATCCGGCGCCTGGTTGCAGTCACGCTACGTCAAAAAAATGGGGCCAATAAGCTGTCATCCAGAACAAATAAAGACAGAAGCAGCTGCACAAAGAACTGGGGCAGGTGTTGGAGTAGATTGGCCTTCCCTGGGATGTTTTGAGAATTGGCACTGTCGAGATATGCACTTCCTCAAATTGCCATTTATACACGCACATATCAGGTACCTTGGGAGCTACACACGTTTGCAAGAGCACTTCGATTTCTGAAGCGTTCTAGTAAAAAAATAATGGGCTTGTTAAGTAGCATTATCGAACATCTCAGCTGAGAAAACTGCCTTTTTTATTTTTGCAGTTTTATATCAATTTAGAGGCATTCGCTTTGACTGAACCCATAGTCGTAGTGGGTGGTACAGGTTCATGGATACAGGTAAGTAAATGAGACATAGTAAACAATGCATCTTAACGAAAAAAAAGAACAAAAAAAGTGAGCAATCACCGAACTGTAAACACTCGTATTGCGTTAATTAGGTCTTTCAACATTTTAATCGCACTAACCAGTTAGCTTTAATGCTCGCCTTTTCAAGTTAACGACAACGAATCCAGACGACTCTCCGGATTATCCGACGGAAAGCGACGTATTAATCCACGGCGATGAAGGTTGTTAGAGCTGATTTGTAAGAAGCACTAACCAGTTGGCCAAAACACCCACCTTTTCAAGCTAATAGCAACAAATTCAGGCGACTCTCCGGATAATCCGACGGAAAGTGACGTATTAATCCACGGCGATGAAGGTTGTTAGAGCTGATTTGTAGGAAGCGCAACACTGACATTTATGAAAAATAATATCTTGGATTTTACGTTCCAAAACCACGACATGATTATGCTCGAGGGACGCCACCGTGAAAGGCTCCGGAAATTTCGACTATCAGGTGCATACCGTACAGTGACATCGCGCTGCAGACGGCCCTTTAGTACGTATAGCCCCCATCGAAACGCGACCGCAATCGAACCAGCGACATTCGGGTGAACAGCCGAGCACTTTGCTGTAGCACCACCAAGACGGACGACGTCGACAATTACAATCAGTTTTCCACTAAAAACTACCTCCGGGTCTTGGCCCTCGCGCCAGACGTCGTGATATGGCCGCGCCTACTCTTGGTTATCTCTCGGCGCCGGCTCGACCAAGCGGGCGTGCCGCCGCTTAGAACGTGCGCTCCCCAAAACCTCGCGTGCGGTGCCGAACAAAGTAACCCCGCCGAAAAAAACAGAAGATCGAGGACAAGGCGCCCACCCTAGCCGATCGCCTGACCCACATAGGATGACCCGCGAGCAGCCGGCGGCGAAGAAAAAGACCGTGCAGCTACGCTTTCATAGGCAAGACGGGACCCGGTTTAACCCGGTCCCGTCGCGCTCCACACCCGGTGCGAAAAAAGCTCGGCTAGAACAGCGATAATGCTCACGTAGCTCTAAATTTCACGTAGAACAACAAAAGAGACGCAGATAACACTCGTCTTCATCCCTTCAACTCTCCCACGCCAATTTCTTGCGCCACGGCGCACAGTTTCGCATCTCCAACGCCACAGGCATTGGAATCATCCAACTTGACGATCTCGTTGCTACTGCGGCACTAACGGCGCGGATGATTTACGAAGGGAGTAAGGAGAAGTGCACGAGAGACCAGAAAAACACTGCGTTGCGAAAGCGGCGCGAGACATTTTAGCGGCCATGAGGGGGGCTCGGCTCCTACGTGACGCTGGGCGGTGCAGGGCGGCGACATCGCGGCGTTCTGCAGCACGCATTCGCATCGATCTACTACCAACCCGCTTGCAACATTGTTACACAAACGAGACCGCAATTAATTAAGAGGCTTACGCGCTCGCTACGATCAGAAGCCGGCGCGGAAGCGCGTATGTATGAATGCTTTTTTTCTTTACCAGTTCGTGAAGCAGTTGCGTCGGCGCCGGTTCTTGATCCCTCCGCTCCGCAGTGCAGACGAAAAATGGCAAGCGCTCGCAAATGCGACCACACGCAACTGGACAAATAAGATGAATGAGCGTAGGAAGAGGGCACAACAGTACCTAGACTTACTGCTATGCGACGTACTTATGAATGAAATTGTTTTGTAGAGCCAACAAAAATAATGTCTGACGTATTTGAAGTTAAAAAAAAATAAAAACCTCTAAAACAGCGTTATTTTACAGTAATTTATTTACTTTTAAAGAATTAAAATAGAGTAAGTACAAAGTACTAAAACATACGTTTGCAAGCGTCCTCTAGGAACAACTATAAGGCTAGTGAGAAAGGTATTGTGCAAGCCTGGTGGCCGATGCCGGGCTCACACGTGAGTTTTTGCGTGCGCCGCGGACCGTGATCGAGTCGTTTACCATTGTTAATTGCATCATCCAGTCAAAACTTAGCTACGCAAACTTCGCTCGTCTCAGTGGTCTACCGCCATGGCTCAGCAGTTCAAAGACATGGCCAGCAAGCTTGGCAAGGGCGGCGGCGGCGCTCCCAAGGGGCTAGGCCTAGGCATCAAGCTCATAGCGGCCACGGCGGGTCTCGGGTATTTGGCTACGCAGTCGGTGTTCACAGTTGACGGCGGTCACCGGGCCATCATTTTCAACCGCATCGGCGGTATACAGAATGACGTGTTCACCGAGGGCCTGCACTTCCGCATCCCGTGGATACAGTACCCGATCATCTACGACATTCGCTCCCGACCGCGCAAGATTTCCTCGCCCACCGGTAGCAAGGACCTTCAGATGGTCAACATATCGCTGCGTGTTCTGGCGCGCCCGGACGCCGCTCGGCTGCCCGTGGTGTACCGCATGCTGGGCACCGACTACGACGAGCGCGTGCTTCCTTCCATTTGCAACGAGGTGCTCAAGAGCGTCGTCGCCAAGTTCAACGCTTCGCAGCTCATCACCCAGCGGCAGCAGGTCTCGCTCCTCGTCCGCAAGGAGCTGACGGACCGGGCCCGAGACTTCAACATCATCATGGACGACGTCTCCATCACCGAGCTCAGCTTCGGAAAGGAGTACGCGGCAGCCGTAGAAGCGAAGCAGGTCGCGCAACAAGAAGCCCAGCGTGCCATGTTCACGGTCGAGCAGGCCAAGCAAGAGCGGCAGCAGAAGATCGTGCACTCGGAGGGCGAGGCCGAGGCCGCCAAAATGCTGGGCGACGCCATCTCGAAGAACCCGGGCTACCTCAAGTTGCGCAAGATTCGCGCCGCCCAGAATATCGCGCGCACGATAGCCGCCTCTCAGAACCGGGTCTACCTGAACGCCAGCTCTCTGATGCTGAACATCGCGGACAAGGAATTCGATATCACCCACATCACCCAAGGGTCCAACAAGAAGTAAGGGCGCGATTTAGTGTAGACCCCGCCCACCTTCTGTCCAGCCGACCAATGAGCGAAAGGTATCTCGAGATCCCAGATGACGCGTAGGCTAGATCTGACAGGTTGGTGAGCTCCGGTACATGCAGTTTTGTGGCAGGAGCTGTGAAGATACCTGTTGTGCCGTGTTCACCGTGATGTTGGAAGCCATTGAAGCAGGTCTTGTTCAGTCGTCGTCCTTGCAGGATGTGCTTTCTAGGGGGAAACGACTTGGCATTTGAATAAGTCCCGAGGTACAGACACCACCCTTGGGTGCTTTCAACCGTTTTGCTCTTTGTTTAGTGAATTGTTACAAAATAAAACATAGCCTCATTTCCTTTATTTCTATATGAGGTCTTTGTACTTTATTCCCACCTGTGGGGGCGCAGGCATGCGTTCACACTGCCAGCGTCCATGTTCTGTCACCACATTGATTATCAATGCATTCGACATGAACCCAATTGTCCGTTACAGCTGAACGTCTCGCATTCATTATCGTTCAGGCTTTTGTGGCATGTTGTGCAGAATTTCGCCTTTGGTTACTGCAGAGCCATAATTTTCTTTAAATGTACTGTGTAAGCAGCATTAGTGACCGTCGCTTACAAGCCTTGCTTTGGCAATTGTGATGCGGGCTAAATAGTGCCGAAACGTACCGCAAGATAGGTAACTTTGTCACGGAAACCCAGCTGGGCATGCCTACCACTGAATTTATAAACTGCAGGAACAAGGTTGCTGGTTGGTATTATAATAAAATTGGGGAAGCCTTAAGCTACTGAATAAAGTAGAGAACTGGACGGAATCTCGTCTGGTCGGGATGTAATAGCATTGTAGAAAGAAAAAGACAGGAAGTCGACCAAGGGGGTGTCAAGAATATAATAAAAACCTGCTAAAACCTATAAAAAAAAACCTGTAAATAAAGGTTTTAATTATATTGACATCCTCTTGGCTGGAGTCCTGTCTTTTTTTTTCTACAATGCCTTAAGCTATGCCTTAAGAGTTGAACACTGTAGCGATAACCTGTCCCTAGTGCGTACCGAGTTCAATATACCTAGTGTTAATGAAGCTTTCGCATATGGCTGCATTCTGTGTAATGGGTAGCGTGCTTTAAACCACAGGCAATAGTAGTCGTGACATCTTTTTTTACATGGCCACAAAGGAAAAAAGCGCAGTAATGTGTGTGCCTTTTGTAGTGGGCGGCTCGCTTTAAACCTTGAAGTCATGATAATAGCATGTTCCGACACCCAATCGCCATGTACGCTTGTACCACGCATTATCACTGTTGCATTGTGAAGCATATATATAGCATGTGTGCGTTTGTAATGCATGCATGCAAGTAACTTTTCACTTTATTACCAAGCAGAGGAAGTTATTTTCGCTGTATTTCTGAGCAGACGCATGGCTCTGTAGTAGAACACCCACTCGCCACCAAAACGAGCAGGGTTGTGTTGTGTCGGTGGCATCATGTTGGAAAGAAATGTTGACGATCATGAACCATAGGCGCGTCCAGTGGGGCCTCTTCTCCGTGCATCCAGAATATCTAGCTTGCGTGTATATGTAAATGCGCTCATATGGTCAGTGTAGAATGTCTAGAGACCTGTTGGTCCGAGAAAGCAGAACCTCTCGGCAATGCGTTTGTGTAATCATTCGAACAGCACAGTATACAATGTTGGCGCGCTTTATAACTGGTGGGAAATCTCAATTAAAGATAACATGCCGTATCGGTGAGAATGTTCAGCTTTTTCTCGTGTCTCGTGGTCCATGAACGTTTTGACACCGACTGTTGTATTGGGAGTGCTTGAACGAGCACCCAAGAAAAAAATCTTTTTTTGGTAAGACAACTCTTGGAAGCCAATACAACGGTATCAGTGCCTCATGCACTTTTGTCTAGTTGCTTAGAGCTCAATCGATGAGTAGTTTCATCTGGGAACTGCCTGGCGAGAGGTTAAAAGCACAATAGGGAATGTAAGGAATTCGTAGAGAACCAAGCTATAATATAATTATTTTCAGTAGTTCCTCTATGCATCGGCTGTTGTGACATTTTGGTGATGAACTGATTGGTATCGGCATACTATTTCAACATGACAATGGTAGTAAGGCAGGTGCTTGCAAACTTTTCCTGGAGCTACTTCAATGCGTTATCTTGGCCTATGAATTTTTTCGTGCTGATGCATTCCGTGGTGCTGATGAAACTATTCACTTGAGGCCAAAATGGGCACAGAGTTGCTGCATTGCTGGCAAACCTCTGCACAGTGCGTTTTATGCTAAAAGTTCATTATCATGGAAGTATATGGACTGTGTGGGAATGCTCAGGCTATACGCAGCTTCTGACTGCATGGCACTGTTCTGGGCTTGAACACTCGGTGTTACATTAATGTTTCAGTATATCTCTGGAATACAGAAACAACAGCCGGTGTAGTCCTTGTTGCCTTGACTGACTCGTCCTCGCACTCTGTGCTTTACTTTACGATGTAGGCTCTAATAACGCCTGCTCTTCAAAAATACCCACACCTTGAAAAATAGTATTCTGTGTAATCGGTGTATATTTCATGTAACAATGTAGTTGGCAGGCATCGTTTTATTACTAGAAAATAGAGGAACTGCGTCATCAGTTTCAATTCTATCATGTATTTCTAAAAAGGATAATACTGAAGTTTTGTACTGCTTAAATGAAATGGCAGGGCACGAAAACTCTATGTAGTCGTCGTGTAAATGCTTCGAATGCCTTCTATGGTTTTCTGAAGTTAGATTTTTTTCCAATATTACATAAAGGTGCAGTAGATAATGAACAAAGTATTTTAGCATAATGGAGCTAATGTTTTGATGAAGAAGCATGAACAAACAAGATGAAAGCATTGAGCAACCTCATAACGATGAGAATGGGCTAGTAGTAAGTTTGACGTTTCAAGTGAATAATAATTTAATTTCGGGTTGAATAGTTCGAACAGTTTATATTGTTAAGGCGTTTAATAGCCGGTCCACAGCGAGCAAGCACAATGGCGACAGTAACGGCCAAGCACGGGCTCTCAGTGCGAGCGGCGTCCTTGTTGGGTAGCCCCACTAGAAGGTACTCAAGAGTTCGACCCATTTCATAGTTCGGAGGCTTCGCTACAATTACCCCGGGGTCGAAGAGGGAGCCGCCTGGCGACCTAACAGCTTGTTATTATGAGCGGGTCATAATAAGCCTTCAGGCGCTCCACGTTGACGATGTCTCGCCCACGGCGGCGCATGTCCGAAGATTGTTCAACGGGTTCGATCAGATAGTTGACGGGTGAGGTGCACTCGATGACACGGTAGGGGCCTTCGTATTTGGGACGTAGTTTGGAAGAGAGGCCAGCGGCAGAGGTCAGGATCGAGAGCCATACAAGCGCACCAGGAAGGAACGTGGGCTCAGAAGTGGTGCTGGCATCACGGATACTCTTCTGCCGCTCTTGCTCTTGCGTCGTAAAAGTCTTGGCAAGCTCGCGACACTCTTCAGCAAGCCTGGCTGTCTCGGAAATAGGTGTACAATCAGATGGATCCGGCGTGTACGGGAGTATTGTGTCCATGGTGTGCGACGGGTGCCTTCCGTACAGCAAGTAGAAAGGTGAAAAACCAGTCGTGCTCTGAGGGGCGGTGTTGTAGGCGTAGGTGACGAAGGGCAGTATATTATCCCAATTAGTGTGGTTGGCAGCGACGTACATAGAAAGCATGTCGCCGAGAGTGCGGTTAAAGCGTTCGGTGAGGCCATTCGTCTGTGGGTGGTAAGCAGTATTTTTGCGGTGGACAGAATGGCACTCCGTCAGAATGGCTTCGACGACTTCCGACAAGAAGACACGGTACGGGATCTAAGCTCCAAGGGCATCGAATGTGAACCGAAGATGTTTGAAGGGCACAGCACTCTCCACCAAAATGTTAAGGCGTTTAATAGCCGGTCCACAGCGAGCAAGCACAATGGCGACAGTAACGGCCAAGCACGGGCTCTCAGTGCGAGCGGCGTCCTTGTTGGGTAGCCCCACTAGAAGGTACTCAAGAGTTCGACCCATTTCATAGTTCGGAGGCTTCGCTACAATATATATATATTGAACAGATATTGAGAAAAGTAAGTATTTTTGTCATGACCCAATTAACTTGCATGATACTTTCAAGAATAGGAACCAGGCACATATGTCACTTTTTGGTTCAAGGTAGAGTGAAAGCAACTTTTCATAGAGGCAAGACTTGTGTAGCGGTAAGATTCTAGTGATAACTGGTACAATACGCTTAAAAAATGGCTGTGCATAGTCTATATAAGTTCGTATAACTCGTTTTTAAACGCTAAAAATGATTGAGGCAAAGGTAAAATGTACATTTAACCTTGAAGTGTGGCTTCGCGGCAGTGCAGATTTCTTGTGAATAGGTGATTTCACGGCATAGCAATATCACGCTTCAGTGAAACCACCTTGTCAGGAAAGTTATGTAGGCTCAAATCGCAAACATGTATATTCGTGCATTTCGCAAACACTAAATGTTCGTTTGTTTGTATTTCACGGGACCGAAAAGGTGTCTGAGTTAACGGAATGGCGAATTATCGAAAGCATCAAGAAAACAAATGACTGTACCATCATTTCACTGCCATTTTCTCGAAGAATGCGTAAGTACAGTAATTATTTTGCATATTGAGTAGTCCGGCACGCCCAGGAAGCCGCCCGTGTCCAAGGACTCAAGGCCGTCACCTAGGCTGGGCTGCTTGTAGCCCCATCCCGCTAAATACCGCCGGACATTCTCAATAAAGTTTTTACTCACTATAGGAGTAGCGCAGTATCAACCATTTGCGTCGTTTGAGACTTCGTTCAAAATGTGAACATGGCCGATGCACCGGCCACTCAAACCTACTTCGCAAAAAAGGCGTAGCGCAGCAAAATACGCATGTCTGAAGTGTGCTAGCCGCAGTATGTTTGTGTTTTACTATTTATAATGATTGCAGAACCGATTAAATAAATATGTGGGACGCTGTGAGCACAAATGAGCAGTATTCATGCTGCGAAGACGTTCTTGTGATAATAATAACCACTAAAAACAGTCAGGACCCTCACCGGTTTTGCCTCAAGCGAACCTCCGCCCCCTAATGAGTGGCCGGATGTGCTCGTCGAGGGAAGAACGAGGGGGCAGTGAACATCTTGCTTCCTATAATGGAGAACCTGGTGCCCTCTCTCTCAGGTGACGAATAGAATGACAAAGAGTATCGTTCATATGTCCTTCCACGGTGAGCAACGACTTTAGTCATATCAACTTGGCTGTGCTAGTTCCGGATACATTGAGAGAAGCACGCAGGTCCCTCGATGAGCCACTACACACACGAAACGCACTCACAAAGTAGGTGCGAGCAACAC